CATTACATTAAGTGTATATGTGACACTTGCTATAGCTGGGCTGTGTGCTGGCGAGCATATGTCCTTACATATTACTTTAGACTTAGTGTTTTCATTGAATATCGTGAAAGAGGCCTTATTACCAAAAAATTGTCGAGTTAATTATGAGATTCTTTTATTTACTGATCTAATAATTTATTTTTATTTGTGAACATTTAGTAATATTTCAAGCAAGCGATGTGAAGCAAAAAATTAAACGCAATTCTAAGAGTAGAATTAAAAATAATAATAACGACAGCAAATGTACTAAAACACTCAACACTTATTTAGAAGATCCGTTGTCGTTATTATTTTTTTTTTCGGAATTAAACTGGTAAATTCAGATAACGGATGTGCGGCTTTTGGGCTTTTATTAAAGATATTTAGTTCTTTTACATAGCGATGCAAAGCAAAAAAAACAGCAACTGTTGATTCTGAATCTTCTGATAAAGCATTGAGTGTTTTAGTTTATTTGCTGTTGTTAGTTTTAATTTGTTATCAGAATCAAACAGCTGAATTCATATGGATGTGCGACTTTTATTAGAAAAATTTGCTTTTTTGCATAGCGATGCAAAGTAAAAAAAAAAAAAAAAAGAAGCGTAACTACTAGAGCAGAATTGGTTTTAAATCTTCTGATTAAGCATTGAGTGTTTCAGTTTATTTGCTGTCGTTACTTTTGTTTTGTTATCAGAATTAAACAGCTAAATTCAGATAACAGATGTACTACTTTTATTAAAGAGATTTGGCTCTTTTTCATAGCTTCCTGCTTCCTGCACGTTCGCGTACGTAAGCACAGTGTGTAAGTTCTATAGCGATCCCAGAGTGCTTTGAAGTAACTTATACGCACCCATCAGAAATACGTAATCGTACGGATACTACGTGCAAAAATTTAGTTTTCCTATTCTTCAGCACAATAGCCTTAAAAGTTTGAATATAACCCAGATGACAACCTGGCCTGGCAGTGGACAAATCTCCAGAGTGACTCGCATATGCTCTATTTAAAAAGAAAAACCACGGAAATCTCCAACCTTCTGACAAAGGTATTCTAATCGATAATCCAGTCTGTGTTATTACTTCTATGCATCTGCCAGTATCCCACTAAAAATTGTTTTAATTCGATTTATAAATTTCAGGAATTGTTAAATCATGGTTTATGACTTATGCATCGTGGGCGCTGGTATGTTTGGCAGTGCAGCGGCTAGGCATGCCTCGGTAAATCCAGCTTTGAAAGTCTGCTTGTTAGGACCAGGAGAGCCGAAAGTAAGATAATTATTTGTGATATGATACTTAATATTCAATAAGAAAAGTTAAAATCTTACATGCTTTGAATCATCTTAAATTATTACAATCCCATAATTTAATATCAAATAATGGCACATTTTCAGAGCGAAATTACTTTTAGAAGTAATTTTAGAAGTAAGTTTTTTTTAAATTTACTTTTAGAAATTTCACAAAAATTATACGCATTTAAAATGGAAATACATGCAATAAAAATTAGTTAAATTTAATTATTGAAGAAAAGTTGTTTTAAGAATTAGTAAAAACTTAATTAAAAAATTCATTATAACATGTTTAAGACAGATTCCTTTGAAGCCTTAAAGGAAATTATTATTGAAAAATGTATTCATTTCAGTATTTTACTGTTATATTTTAGATTATTATCAATACAAGTTATAATTTAAATATATACGTTTCTCTGATTATTCAAATTTCTGAAAACTCTATGCATTTATCATTTTTTGAAGTAGCAAAAAGAATTGTAATTATTTCACAGTTTGTCACAATGTAGTTAATTGTAGTTTAAAATATAAATAGCTGAATTAAAAATTATTTCAGTTTTATTAAAATTGATAAAGGTTTTGTAATTAGATTAAATTGATGTGCAATTATTTGAAAACTTGTTCTATTAATGAATAATCAACAAGAATTTGTTTAAAATAAATGATAAATTAGTGTTAAAATCTTATTTTGCAGTGTTAATTTATCCACCTTTATCGGACTAAATTTTCTTTAGTTTATATTTTTAAAGTCTTATGGCTTTATACTTAACTACTTCAAAAATTTATGTAACTAAAATTTGTTAAATTTACTCTTTTACCTAATTATCATTTGTAGTTATAATAATCAGGCAAAAAATATTATTATTTTCAACAAAATATTTATCAATTGAAAAGAACAGCTTTTTTAAGTTTTTGCTATTTATTGCTCGATCACAAAACACAAGAACCGTTGGTATTTTCCTTTTATTTTTACTTTTGTTCAAAATTAACGAAAACAAAGTATAATGGATTCAGTTCTTATATCATCTATACTTTTTGATCAAAGTGTTGATCAAATATATATATATATATATATATGCACATACACTGAAGAGCCATTACATTATGACCACCTATT